AAAAAAGAAAAAAATTTTTCCAAATATGGAAGAATCTCCACATTTTTCTCTGTCATGAGACACAAAAACTATGTGTTTAAGCTCAGTGGACATGTTCTCATACATTCTTGATGGTAAATATTAAACCATGCCACATCCTTTCTGTATTCCCTGTTGGATCTTCATGCTGAACGTCCTTGGGATAGTTCCTGGGTGGGGACGGGGAGCGTATTTGACGCCCGGGATATCAGCTGTGTTGTTCCCTGAGTTCCCTAGAAATTCTCACCTTTCCTGTTTCCAAAACTCAGTCACACACATGGATGTAACAAGTGCTTCTTGCTGGCATGAGCTCATGATAATGGAACGTCCAGAAACTGGTCTGGAAAGCTCATCAGAGTTCGTTCCTGCTTGACAAGGAGCCACAAGATGTAGCACTCCACCGACATGAAGCTATAAACAGGGTAGTCTACACAGTGAGCTGTACTGTAGACCCTGCTTTTCTGTTTCTCAGGAACATTAAGAATATGAAATAGGTGAAATTGTGTGAGCTGCTTTCAGAGCGCCAACCCCAGAACTATCGTGTCAGGATTTCTGAAGTGCACCTAGCTCGTGTGTGCTGAGCACACCCATAGATGACATCACGTGTGGTGAAGAACTTCTACTTCAGATGCATTTCATTCATGACAGTTTAACACACGATCACTAGCCGTAGACTTGTTCTGTAGGGCGGCTGATAGACAGTCTGTAGTGGGTGATAATGGCATGATCAGTTGTGTTAACTGTACACTCGGATTACACAGAAGCTTAAACAGGATGTCAAGGAGTTTCGCAGTTCTTCTCTGGTGCTCTCGAACAGCTTTCAAGAGGAATTCCTGTGCCGCTTTTCCGACATAGCAGCCATTGTGCAGAGGACACAGCTCAGTCATGAGGCCCTCCAAGGTGAGAGCACGTGTTGACAGCAGTGGTAGAGTAGCTACTTTTCTGTTGCTATGATAAACACTATGACCACAGCAACTTATAGAAGGAAGAGTTTATTTGGCTTATGGGTCCATCGTGGCGGGGGAGGCATGGCAGGAGGGGCCAGAGCAGGGAGCTGAGCATTCACATCTGCAAGCAGACACAGGAAGCAGAGAGAGCAACTGGAAGTGAGCCAAGGCTGAACTCTGAAAGCTGCCTCCAGCAACGTGCTTCCTCCAGCAAGGCTGCACCTCCCAAAGATCCCACCACCCTTCCCAAACAGCACCACCAACTGACCAAGTGTTCAAATACTTGAGCCTATGGAGGACATTCTCATTCAAACCACCAGAAGTGGCCTGGGGTTTCAGGCCAAGTCTTTTTACTCCTGACGCCTAATCTGACGGCAAGAATAAATACTGTGCTACTCAGTGATCCAGTGCCCCCTTTCCACTGGCTAGCAGTTTCCTGACCACCTGCTCTGTAGCACACCTTGGCACAAGGCCTCCTCTTCCTCGTACCTGCAGAGCATGCTGTTGATGTTGGCGGTTGTGACTGAACTGGAGCCTAAGTCCATGAGCTTTCTGTGTCAGGGCCCTTCTCCCCAATAGCAGGCAAAGTGTTCTGTCCTGCCAGTTTGATTCTATCATTTCCAGCAAGTCCCCAGCAACTGGCCTGATCTGTAGCTACAATGGACTCATTAGGATAAACTCCTGGACTCACATCTGTGGTCAAAGGCTTTGGCACTCTGTCGTAGTCTTCCTCCAACAGCACTGTGTGTTGGACCCCACTCACCCCAACCCCAGTGCTATGCGTGCCACACCTGAGATAAGTCCTAATGCAGAATCGCAGCACGTTGGTCATCTTTGTGTCACTCTGAAAGGTCCGTCAAGGCTTGGCACCTTTTACTGCTTCCAGTCAGGCTAACGTTTGATTTTAGACATCTTTTATTTTGACATTTTATTTCACAGTGGTCTCCATGGCGCACTCAGTTCAGTAACTTCCTGAGGTGTTTGTAGGTGTGTGCGTGTGCTCGTGTATGTGTGTAGGAGCATGTATGTGTGATGTGCATACATGAAAATTTGTGTGTTGTATGTGGTGTGTGCATACATGCATTATGTGTGTGGTTTGTTGTGTATTCATATGTGTAGTTGTATGCATAATGCGTGGATAGGTGTATTATTTCTTTGCTTATGTGGTATATGTACATGTGTACACAAGTGTATGTGGTATGTGTGCATGTGCTATGTGTGATGAATATTTTGTAAGTGGTGTGTGTGATATGTAGTGTGCATGTGTGTGGTCTTTTGTTGCACGCTGTACAGGAGACAGACATTTCCCCCAGGAGGATCTGGGGGACATCGTTATGACAGACTCAAAGGGACGATGAAGTATAGAACAGCCATGGCTTTTCCTAGGAGATGCTGGTGTGTGTGATAATTGTGCAGCCGGGAGGCACCGAGCAGGGAGCTGAGCATTCACATCTGCAAGCAGACACAGGAAGCAGAGAGAGCAACTGGAAGTGAGCCAAGGCTGAACTCTGAAAGCCGCCTCCAGTAACGTGCTTCCTCCAGCAAGGCCGCACCTCCCAAAGATCCCACGACCCTTCCCAAACAGCACCACCAACTGACCAAGTGTTCAAATACTTGAGCCTATGGAGGACATTCTCATTCAAACCACCACAAGTGGCCTGGGGTTTCAGGCCAAGTCTTTTTACTCCTGACGCCTAATCTGATGGCAAGAATAAATACTGTGCTACTCAGTGATCAAGTGCCCCCTTTCCATTGGCTAGCAGTTTCCTAACCACCTGCTCTGTAGCACACCTTAGCACAAGGCCTCCTCTTCCTCGTACCTGCAGAGCATGTTGTTGATGTTGGCGGTTGTGACTGAACTAGAGCCTAAGTCCATGAGCTTTCTGTGTCAGGGCCCTTCTCCCCCATAGCAGGCAAAGTGTTCTGTCCTTCCAGTTCGATTCTATCATTTCCAGCAAGTCCCCAGCAACTGGCCTGATCTGTAGCTACAATGGACTCATTAGGATAAACTCCTGGACTCACATCTGTGGTCAAAGGCTTTGGCACTCTGTCGTAGTCTTCCTCCAACAGCACTGTGTGTTGGACCCCACTCACCCCAACCCCAGTGCTATGCGTGCCACACCTGAGATAAGTCCTAATGCAGAATCGCAGCACGTTGGTCATCTTTGTGTCACTCTGAAAGGTCCGTCAAGGCTTGGCACCTTTTACTGCTTCCAGTCAGGCTAACGTTTGATTTTAGACATCTTTTATTTTGACATTTTATTTCACAGTGGTCTCCATGGCGCACTCAGTTCAGTAACTTCCTGAGGTGTTTGTAGGTGTGTGCGTGTGCTCGTGTATGTGTGTAGGAGCATGTATGTGTGATGTGCATACATGAAAATTTGTGTGTTGTATGTGGTGTGTGCATACATGCATTATGTGTGTGGTTTGTTGTGTATTCATATGTGTAGTTGTATGCATAATGCGTGGATAGGTGTATTATTTCTTTGCTTATGTGGTATATGTACATGTGTACACAAGTGTATGTGGTATGTGTGCATGTGCTATGTGTGATGAATATTTTGTAAGTGGTGTGTGTGATATGTAGTGTGCATGTGTGTGGTCTTTTGTTGCACGCTGTACAGGAGACAGACATTTCCCCCAGGAGGATCTGGGGGACATCGTTATGACAGACTCAAAGGGACGATGAAGTACAAAACAGCCATGGCTTTTCCTAGGAAATGCTGGTGTGTGTGATAATTGTGCAGCCGGGAGGCACCACCTGCTGGGTGGTAAGGGAATGCAGCCAGGAGAGTGTCTCCAGGTTCTTCATGATGCCAGGTCTTCTCCAGGGGTCTCAGGGTCTTGGTCAACAAGGACAAGGTGCCCCCTTTTTTCATCTTTCTCAGAGACAGATGTCGGCCCCACACCCTTTGCTCTGGCCACTGCTCTGCAGCCCCGGCAGGACAAATGGCCAGGCCTGGCCATGTCACGGGCCAGGGAGGGTTAGAGGTCAGATGTCCAGCTGTGCTAGGGGATTGTGTGGACAGACTCCTCAGATTAGATCTCATATATGCTCTGAGCCGGGCACCAAGAGTCTCTGAGTCAGTGTGGATCTTCCTGTAAACGGCTTAGTTCTCAACCTGAGTGTCATGTCTGTGCTGACCTGGCCTGGGATTCTGGACCCCTGGCAGGCAGCATCCTGTAGCCTGTAACACCCAGAATGGCCCCAGGATGCTGAAGCATGCCTTCTGGCTGTTGGGAATCTCATATACAAGTCTCTCTCCCCAACCTACACATAGGGCACTATGCTGGTAGCCAGGCTGCTGTAACATGCCCAGTCGGGGTACTTGGGACTCCAGGCCTAGCTGTGACCACATGTTGATGCCATATCAATGAATGATATTCCTTCACTCTCACATTGTGGCAAGATGGCGTCATCCTGGTGGGAAGTGGGAAAGGGGGCCACAGGGTGACACTAACAAAGTCAGAAGTCAGATCCGACTTCTGCCATGAGGCCTCTTTCTACACAGGGGACCCATGGGGACCTCTTATACTGAGGAGCCAGCTCCAGGACTGGGTATATTTCAGCCCAGAGTGGTCATTGGGTGGCCCCATGGGTCATGAGTCACCATGGGGCCTCTGATAGTCCACTGTGGCCCGTAGCTTGCCCTGCCAACCTCCCTGTGATCTAAATCCACCTTACATAGGAGACAGCAGGGTCTCCTCCTGAAAGCTGGACTGTAACCTAGGGTGAACTGACCCTGCAGCATGCCAGTCAGAGACTACACGTCTGCATCAGTCTTTGCAGGAGCTGGATTCACGATACCAACTGGAGCAGCAGAGAAGGAGGGCCCTCCATAGCCTGGTGGTGAGTAGCTGCAGTATCAGCACCAGGCTTCAGCAGCTCAGAAAACCAGTCAGGACGCACCCAAGGATGACATTGAGGCCCCATCTGAGTGAGACTTGACTAAAGAGCTAGAATCCTATAGGAATGCTTGGGGGTGGGAGTCACAGCCCAGGTAGGGCAGAGGAGGTCAGGGCTCAGCCACAAACTGTCAGCTAGGATCACGTTTCCTTCTTCAGCGAGAAGCCACTGGCCACTCTTGCTGCTCAGCCAGGAGGCAGTCATGTAGACCATGGGGTCACCACAGTATTGGGGTTGAGATGCTTCAGTAGCTGTGGCCACTGTAGGTGATGTGACCACATCAAAACCTCTGAGACTGAGTGACAGGTGGGCTGATGTGAGACATGGGACAGAGATGAGTGGGGATGGTTTTTCAGGGTATAAGGATACCAGATGTTCCCCATATGCAGACTCATGAGGTATGGAGGAGCAGACTCCCCCCTGGCAGCCCTTGCGCTGTTTATCTCTACCACAGAGGAGGTTCCAGGGGTCTTTGGCCTTCCTCAGAGGCACAGGATGTAGGTCCCTGGAAGACCAAAACCGGCCTCCCCACACCAGCATGGTGACCAAGGCCATCGTTTGGTAGACCTGCTTCTGCGTGGTGTGGCTTCCATCACAGGTGCACTTTGCCTAGCGTCTCTGTGCCCCAGCTGCCAGTGCTCTGAAGCCTGCACGTCTGCTCTGTGGTGACATAGTCCCATGGGACTTGAGTCATACCCATGAACAACCAGGCTTTCAGCACATCTGCTTACCTGGCTCAGTGCTCAGAATACTGGTGTAAGAGCACAGTTACTGGGTGCTTGCTGTGTGACAGGCATTGGTTAAAGCATTTCAGGATGTGTTCTTTTTTAATTTTCATGGTAACCCTGCTGGCACCTTAGACAGTGCCCTCCCCAAGAAGGCAGCCGGAGTTCATGGGAATAAAGCAGCCTCCTCCTGAGAGTTCAACAAGGAGCTGGGATAGGCAGAGAGCTTAAATACAAGTATCTGAGACAGCGCTGCAGCCCGTTCGTATGGGCCAAGTCTCCAGACAAGCTGACTGCCAGCTCTGGCGAGGTGTACTACCCACTGGTCGCAGCATCCCACCGTGGAGGCTCAGGAGAGAAGCGAGATAAGGCCCTTACCTCCTGGAGCCTGGCCAGGCATGGGAGTACCTCACAGTGTTTGTGGACACGACTCTGGATCCTTCTTTTTCCAGCTGCCTTTGGTTTATGTAAAGCAAACTTGCCCCAGCTGAGAATGGTACGGATTTGAAAAGGCTCAACAGCCAAGAGTGTCACAAACTGTTTCAGCAGGCAGAGTGAAGGGCTGAGCCTGCCTTGGTTACAGAAAGTCAGACACAGAGGTGTGAGTGGGAAAGATACCGAGGACAATGAGCATCCCTGCAGCAGTGACACGCCCTGAATGCAGTCCGGTCCTGGTAGCTGCAGTCACATTGTGTGGCCATCAATCTGGTTGCTGGGCAACTTTCTTGATAACTTCCAGACAGATGCAGCAACTATCTCAGCCCTGGTTATAATGTCCTGATTTCTGGGCTCCTCTGCCCAAGTGTGACACCTTATCCTCCCCAGCCCCTTGCAGGGGTAGCAAAGAACTTGCCCACAGGGGTGGCAAAGGGCCTGTCCCCAGGGCTGGCACCCGTACTCTACAGGTAGATGAGAATATTGGGTCTCATCTCTCCTCTCTGCTTCCGTGATCTGATTGTCTGGAGAGGACCAGGGCTTTCTGAAAGTGGGGTCCAGAAGTTTTTGGGTACAGAATACTTGATTACCACCTACACTGTGCCTGGCTGATTGTCTCAAACCTAGGTCAGTTATGCAAGTCAGAGCTGGCAAGCAGGAGAGCACTCTGCAGGCTGTGCCAACCAGAGGTCTGCTGGGTTAGCGCCTCAATCTGCCTCAGTCTGAGTCAGTCACCCAGGCCACTAGAGAGAGGTGCCACCCAGGCCATGGGAATGGTTAGCATTATTGGACAGTGGCCTAGAAAGAGAAGTCGCCCAAGCCAGAGGTACAGATGGACTGAACAGAAAGTTCCTTATAGTTAGCAGCATCTGTACCTAGCTTCGCAGAAGCGGAATCCAGATCCGTGGCTGCACTGAACACTGTATTGATAGTATTTACAAAACAACATAAATCCTAGATTCATTAACTCTGCCCAGGCAGGAGAGTGTCCTTCCTGCTTTGGGAGTGCAACCGACTCTGAGTCTTTGTTTTGCTCCAGGCAGTAAGTCACCATGACTTCATCTGGATGACCCCTCTGGAGGTCAACAAGCCACAGTCAAATTCATGAAATTCCTCCTCAAATACCTGAGAGATTGAGCCCAGAATGCCAGGAAGATGGATTTTTGTTGCTACTTAGTGCCAAGTGAATAAATCTGTTAAGTTTACATTACAAATCTGGAGTGGCACAGAGTTGGCTGCCCTGTGGGGATGTTTTGAGAGGTCAGGGAGGTCTGCGACTGAGTAGGGCTTCTGTGTTGTGCGATGGTTGGAAGCTCTTTATTGTTGTAGGGGCTGAAAGGAAGCATCTGAGTCCACTGTCGAATCCGTCCCTTGTTGCCGTTTGATAAAGAGTTGGAAGAAGCGGTAAGTAACTTTCACACTCTTTTCCTATGTGGCTGCTGCCAGGGTGGTTGAAGGAGAAAGGTCTAGAATAGTGGTAGCGATTGCTCTCCCCCTGTGTTCCCAGCTCTGCATCCTGGAGTAGCTCCTGGTGTCTGGGAGAGGCCTTTGAGATGACACCCCTAGCTATGTAGGGTAGGCCCACTGATCAGGGCTTGATGGTGGGGTGAGTCTCTGTCCTGTTCAGAAAGCAGTGTCCTGCCCCCAACCCAGCCTTCCCCTTTAGGTTATACCAAAAGGGGCAGCCCTTTGTCCCTCCTTCCTCCAGAGACCCCTCATGGAGGCTCAGGGACGTCGTCAGTTTGGACAGCTGGTGTTTCTGACCTACAGCAGGATACATGTTCCTTTCCAGTCCTATCCTTGCCCTGTACTTCTGAGAAAATCCCTCCCTCCATGTCTGTCCCTATCCTCTGATCCTTCTCCCTGCCTGGACTTGTCTGGTCTCCTTGGGGTCTGCTGCAGGTGCTCCATGCTTTGGGGCCTGTCACCCTGTCCCAGTTTTACTCCTCGGAGAGGCCTGACTGAGCTCTCTTCATTTACATTAGCTACTCCTGGTATGATGTGCACACGTGTGTGTGTGAGTGTGCATGTGTACGTGTATGTGTGTGTGTACATGTGTGTGCATGTGCACGTGTGTACATGTGTATGTATGTGTGTGTGTGCACATGTGTGCACGCGCACGTGTGTGTGTGTGTGTGTGTGTGTGTGTGTTGCACACAGGCTTCTCAGATGTCCTCCTTGATCACCGTTGTTACCTTACTCCTTTGAGTCAGGGTCTTTCCCTGAACCAAGCCCCACTGATCCTCCTGTGGTTATAATGCAAGAGGAAACCTGGCTTAGTACATGGATGCTAAGATCCAAATGTGGTCTTCATGGTTGCACAGCAAGTGCTTCTAACCATTAAGCCGTCTTTCCATCCCAGTTTCTAACTTTTTAGTGATGGTAGAAATGTTTTCTTCTCAAAACCTTAAGGCTTTCTTCCAGCCATGGTTTATAAAGTGCTTGTCACACTGGAAGCCATGGTCATTTGTCAAAAGCTGCAGAGGGGACAGCAGTGTCCTGTACACATTAGCTGCTTTGGAGCAAGAGCCTGCATTGTGAGCACCATTCAGTGTTAATCTGTTCCCAGCTTCCCTCCAAGTACTCGGTCTAAATGAAAGCATTCTATGCTGCGGGTGGGAGGCTGGACATCCAAGCTCAGAAATTTCAGCATGGTACTATGTTTACGAGGCTGTTGATCTCCTCGAAGACTCCTTAGCATTTTCATTTATTTTTGTTTAGGGTTAAAGCTCATGCAGTTGAAGACAAATGGGTGTGTGTTCTGCTGGGCCAGAGGGTCACTTGTGGCTGATGTTAAAGAAATCTCACCACACTGAGGTGGAGGCCAGTGGAGGCCAGGGAGAGACAGCCAGGAAGCAATCAGCAGGCCGATCTTAGTGCTGCGGTCCCAGTTTGGAGCAGTGCTGTGGTCCTGGCTCTTTCTGGTATTTATTCCTACTGGTATTTCAGAGTTCTGGGTGTGAAGAGGACAAACAAGCCTCCACAGTGTATAAGGACTCAGGTCCTGAGGCAGTGGCCACAGTTCAGTGTGTGTGGACTCCATGGAGAGGGGAGCTCCTGCATGTGACATCCTGAGAGTTCACCGGCCTCTCCATGGTGGCAGTGGCACATAGGTACACAGATCTGCACCTGAGTCCGCAGGCTACTGTGGCATTTGCAGCCCTGTGAGAGGCACACTGTCACCCCAGTTCTGCCACTCCCCTCACAGCCCGTTGCCCTGCAGTCTGCCCTGTCTGTGAGCCTGAGATTCTTGGTCATGGCTACAA